GACAGTTTTGTAAAAAAAAAAAAAATGAACTTTGAAAGACTCAAGAACTTTGATGAATGTAATGACCAACCACAATTCCAGAGAACTAATGATGAAGCCCCTAACTACCTCCTAATAAAGAGGTAATAGACTCAAGGTACAGAATAAGGCATACGTTTTTGGATGTGACCACTGTGGGAATTTGTTTTGTTTGACTATGAATACAGTCTGTATTTCACAAATATAAAAAGGGTTGCAACAGAGTTGTCAAAAAAAAAAAAGGAAAGAAAAAGAAAATGAGGTCACTGAAGCAGTTTTTAAAAAGCACAGTAGAGAATAGAAAGAAAGCCAGAAGGAAATACAAACAGGACAGCTTTCGAAGTTACAGTTTGATTTTACTATATACTTAAAAGGAAAAGCAAGCTGTACATTATAGAGATTTGCAGTTTCATGTACATCTCTTTTTTTTGGTTCTTTTGTATACAGAAATGCTGCTTTTAGTGTTTACGTTCAGAATTAAAAAAAAAAACTCAAATGCTATAAACACTCCAAAACTACAACAACAACCTGATATTCCTAAGACACAGGTCTAACTGTATATTGTTCCGTTACTTATTAACTCCAGGGGCTCCTCTAGGATAAAATATACACCCTTCTGTTCAGTATTTAAAGCCCTGCACAACCTGATTCTAACCTGCCTTTTCAGCCTTATTTACATTGCTCCTCTTCACACACTCTACAATCCAAGCAAACTGTTACTCTTGCTGTTCTCACACATGCCACTCTTTCAACCAGTTACTTTCGCAAAGGCTGTCTGTCTCCCATGCCTTGAATCCATCCCCTCTTCACTTCCACACTTTAAAATCCTTAATTTCCTCCAAAGTTCAGCTCCATCAATACTTTATACATGAGGCCTTTCCTGGTCCCTCTCAGCATTTAGTGCCTTCCCACACCTCCCAAAAATATTAACTACAAAAATTTTGTATATACTTTTACAAAATATTTACTTATACACTTATGTAGAGAAAAGGCTCTGAGAACAGAGTTAAGTGATTTGTTCAAGAAATATTACACAGCAAGGCAGCGGCAGGGACTGGGTTAAAATCCAGACCTGAATTTCCTATTTAAATTAGCAGCTCTCTCACAATAGAATGAATATAAGTTCCCCGAGTGCAAAACTTTCAATTTTGTCTTTATATCTCTAGCACCAGCTAGCGCATCAGCAATAGGTTCCCAAAATGAACGATACTGCCCCTTTGGGGGCACTGGAAGGATCCAAGGTGAGGCAGGAGTAGCCTAGGGTAAAACTGGGGGGCACTGAAGGAATGCCTTAAGCATAAGGAAAGAAGAGAGGAGAAGAAATTTTTGAAAAATCATTTGTACATATTTCATCTGTTGTGTAACAGAGTTAAAGTCATAGTGATTACATTATTTTCCAAATACACACACAAAATACAAGTTATAACCACCCAATGGTCAAGTCCGTGACAGGTCTTGACAAGAAAGTGTTGGCAGGCAAGCATGTCTTGTTGCACATTGTCAGGAAGTTCAGCATGCATCAGCAGGAATATGTGCGTGTTTACTTGTTTATAATATGATACTATATGGTTACATGATGCAATAGTGCACCATCAAAATTTCAATGCAGGAAAAAACCCACAAATTTACAATACATTATTAAATTTAAAATGCATCATTTTTTAAAAAAAATTATATATACTTTTTGAAATGACACAAATTAAAAAAAACACATTAAAGTCTTAAAGAAAGTAGATCTTCAGGTAGGCACTGAGTAATTAATTTTGGAAAAATAGGCCAAATAAGTTGGGGAACCTCTGATATAGCTCAATGACAAGATAGAAGGTAGTTTGTTGACCCACTATTCCATGATGCCTCTCATGCAGAAATTACCTTTCAACAAATCCTTAAATTTATCCAGACCTTTTATGAGGTGCTGTCATTCATTTCATTAGATTCTTATAACCTTCTGAGGAAAGTAAGACAGATATTATCATATACATTTTACAGACAGGGAAAATAAAGCATAAGAAAGTTAGGTAATTTATCCAAAGTCATTCAGTTAGTGGCAGGACCAGAACTAATATTCATGTATGTGTCAACAAGTCCTATCTTGCTCATCAAAACATTCCAACCACCTCCACCAAAACCAATTCTGCTACTTAACAACTTCCTAACATAAAACACAACATACAAAGATCTAGAAATTCAGACAGAAAGGAATAAGGGAATGTGATGTGAATAATGCCTTCTTCCCTCTCAGTTTAGCATACTCCTTTTCATTTTCTAATTCATTAAAGAGAATCCAGGCACTTATTATACTCTGACACTAGCTATTACAACCTGGAATGTGTTTTTTAGCAGTACTCTCACTAAATACAACTTTGCATTGATGAAAAGTGGTATGTAATATGAAGTTCCTTATAAGAGGTAATGAATTATTTAACCTGTGGGAAATGTCCTACAGGTGAGTAATTTTTAGGTAAGTCTTCACAAAAATCTGTAGAAAATCATTCCAAGTTAACCCTAATAGCTCACAGTAGCTAACCCAGAGCTCATCCATCTTTGTGTATTTATTTATTTATTTTCAGGCAATTGGGGTTAAGTGACTTGCCCTGGGTCACACAGCTAGTAAGTGTGAAGTGTTTGGTCTGAGGCTGGATTTGAACTCAGGTCCTCCTGACTTCAGGGCCAGTGCTCTATCCACCGTGCCACCTAGCTGCTCCTTGTGTATTTATTTTTACAAAGGTCCACAGAGTCTAGATGTGGGATGATGGCTTAAATAGGAATCTGGTTTGTGTTTTAAATCCTATCTCTGCCACTGACTTGCTATGTGACATTTCTTGGGCAAGTCAATTAACTCTCTGTGTCCCCAGAGCCTTTTCTCCAGATAAGTGTTGGTCATGCCTGGTAGAAGAGCATTTAATTAAAATCATCTTACAATCTGCAAATGTGCAAAAGTACTTTATAACTACTCAAAGATAGAGTATAAATAGCTAGCTCAACTGCCTTTGAGGCAACACCGTTTTCTGATACTATATTAACTTATCAGCAAGATTGGGAAATTTTATAATCAATTTACCCAACGAATTTGGAAAAACTACAGCCAAGTAAAACAAGCTATGGAGCTTTTCTTTTTAAAAGCCTGGTCCACTATGAAAGGAGTCAGAGGATATAAAATTACCTCTAATTTTCTGTCATAATCTTTCCAGCACCTGCACTATTGACCTATTCCAGCAAAATGAGCTCTTCAAGAATAAAGCACACTTCTCTAACAGCTATTTTTAATCCAGGTAGAAAGTTGGGTGTGGATCGCACAGAAAAATAATATTGAGAACCAGGCAAATCTGGTGCTTTCTGCCTAGGAATGTGACCACAGACTAAGTATATACCTTGTTTTCTCTTCCTCTGCAAACCAGTATGTGGTATGAAAACTTATAGCCATATTATCTTTGCTATCCAATTATCAAAGGATTAAATCTGACCATGGCCCAGTGTGGTACTGGTATCAAAAATAACAAAACAAGGTGCCAGATAACTTAAATATCTTAGAATCAATGTCATCAATTAGAATATAAGTTCTCCATTTGTCTTTCAACCTCATTAGTGGTCCCTTCAAAACTAGTAACAGGAAGTAACAAAGGTGCTCAAATCCCATCCAAAGTGTACAGTTAGGAAGGAATATCAACTCTACATATACACACAGAATAATTAAACAATACATATAATTAGCTTTTCATGTATATGAAGATCTTTAAAATAGAGTACAATGACCAACAATGGAAGGAATGTAGGAAAACCAGGACATTTATGCACTGTTGGTTCGAACTATGAACATATTCAACTATTCCGGAGAGCAATTTGGAATTATGCCCAAAGGGCTATAAAACTGTGCATACCCTTTAATCCAGCAATACCACTATTAGGTCTATAACCCAGAGACATCCAGAAAAAGTGAAAAGGACATATCTGCACAAAAATATTTATAGCAGCTCTTTTTGTGGTGGCTAAGAATTGGATATCAAAGGGATGCTCATCAATTGGGGAATGGCTAAACATGACAAGCAGGATGATTTCAGAAAAACCTGGAAAGACCTACATGAACTGATGAAAGGTGAAATGAACAGAACCAAGAGAACATTATACACAGTAACAGCAATACTGTATATGATGAACTGTGACTGGCTTAGCTATTCTCAGCAATACAACGATCCAAGTCAATGTCATGAAATCTGTTCTTGTAAAATCAAACTGGAAGAAACCAGAAAAAATGGAAGCTGACAAGAAAGAAGACAGAGGCAAACCAATAGTGGAAAAGCAGTCAAGAAAAAGAACATCCAAACAGCTGTACTTAAGGATTAACAGATTAAATGCAAAAGAACATTGGAAGTAAAGCATCAGCATTCACTTTGTGGTATAGTAAACTTAGAGGAGTTCCCCACACACACAAGAAATGTAGTAGGAAATCTTCATATACCACAAAAAAACCTGTTGATTCCTTTGGAAGTAACACCTTTTGCTTCAAACTTCCACAGACCTATACTTTCATTACTACAAGTACTCCTCCATCCACACAAATCCTAATCTCTCTACACTGAAGCAGATGTTTGTAGGTTGCTATAACCAAAAAAGTTCACCATCTTGTGGCCAACTTTCTGGTGATGACCCACCCCAAACTTAACCAGGCTTTCCTTCAGACCAGATACAGGGAGTCACTGAAAGCACGCTCAGAGCCTTCTTAGCTTAACAGAATGCAGCAAAGCCAGCACTCTCCTGTCACAGCTTTCGAAAATGTATGGCCACCTCCATATCAAGACAAGGTACTGGAGTAGGACTTTAGAGGAGCAAAGAATACAAAACACCTAAAAAAGGACCTTTTTGTTTAAGTATACCCTGGCTCCTGAGACAGTAGAAAGCTCCTTGTTCTTTCTCCCTTTCTCTACGCTAGACCACCCCCAAGGACTCAGCCATATGGCCTTTCTGTATTCTCCTATCCTTCTCACCTGCTGTGATGGTGTCCACATCCCTGGCAGCCAATTCTTCCACCTCTGATCTCTTTCTCAACTCAAACCTCCGAGAGAAGCCTTCTCGGGGCTTCCACAGGTCCTGAATCAAAAGGGGCTTCTCATTATCCCGTAGGACTCGAAGGCATTCTGCCTGCCATTGCTGTCCTAAGTCCCCAAATCGCCCCACCACATCACATAGCACATACTGGCTGGCTGACACTGCATTCAAAGCATAACGCTCCAGTGCCTCCTTTACCAGCTCCTGAGCACTAGAGCTAGCTGTGGCCAGGACACTCTTGTAGTGGGCACCTGTACAGACATTGTCCCCAAACACCTTCAGGACACCTGGGGCAGAAAGTTGTGTGGAAAGCTCTGCAGGGTCATCACTGGCACCCAAGCTGGGAAAAGCAGAATCACAGCCTCGGTCCTTGTAGCTCAGTGTTCGGGATAGCATGTGAGAGAGTAGGCGACTCTGACGCTTTAGTTTGCTCTTGCTAGGTGGGGACATGGTAGAAGGAGATCCATAAAACATCGTGGGAGAGGTCGTCACGGAATAAGACTTTGAGCTTCAGTCAAAAGATACAAATAGCTTCCTAGAAGAGAGTAAGAACGAAGATAGATGAACATCATGATCACGAACATCAAGTAAGTCTTTAGAAGCAACTGAATGTGATGCAATAAGACCACTATTCTATTCTCAAGAGGTCTCTCAATCTGAACCAAGTAAATGATCCTGATCTTCAAGGGCAGTGAACACTGTAGGAAACAAGTTAGATTTGAATGGGCTGAATTCGTTTAATATTTCAAGGATCGTGTGATCCTTTTGGTGTGAAATGAAAATCAGAAACAAAACCTTTTGTGCTTTAGTAATCTTTCAGAATTTCTTTGGCTTAAAACAGTTATCACTTAGTAGCCAACATTTTGATAATTAACTTCATCAGGCATACAGACCATCAGCACACCCATACAAGACACAATTCCAGCTGAGTGGGACTTGCCAGGATCTGCTAACGAAGCCCCCCAGAACTTAATGTTACTTCTAGGCCATGATGAAGCATCAGAGAGGGACTGTGGTACAGGAAGGAACTCAAATACTTTTCCAGAAACAAACTACTAGAGAGCTCTCATTACCAGTCTCAACTAGGATCCCAAATTTATATCACAAATATGCCTAATAATTTCTTTTGTTTGCTTATGCATAATTGTTAGAATGCTTTTCTTTTTTTTTTTTCCTTTCTCAATGGAAGAATGGGGGTGGGAGGGAGAGAAAATAAATGCTTGCTGACTGAAAAATAAAATGGAAAACAAAACAAAAATGCCCAATGGAAGTGGCAATCACATACTTCTCTGGGGGTATAGATTTCTAGGAAGCACCTGATAAAATGCCTTTTACACAGAAGAAGCTCAGCAGATAATTGCTGAATGAAAGAAGTGTCAATTATAATTAAGGAGCTTAAGTTCAACAAGAATGACCCAGTTAGGCTGCGGAGGGCCCACCTGGCACAGGATTTGAAGAAACTATGCTCATCTCAGAAGTTGTATAACTCAATTAGAGAACAGTTGAAATTAGTCAGGATTCAAAAGACTTAATAACCTTTTGCAATCAGTCCCCTTGAGTGCTATTCCATTCCCTGATCCTGCTTGCTACCTTTGCTATTATAGAAACATGACTCAAATACAACTGGAGACCAGATCTTCGTAAGTTAATTTTAAATGTTTGTTTGTATTTTTTAGCTAGGCAATGGGGTTAAGTGACTTGCCCTGAGTCACACAGCTAGTGAGTGTTACGTGTCTGAGGCCACATTTGAACTCAGGTCCTCCTGAATCCAGGGCTGGTGCTCTATCCACTGCGCCACCTAGCTGCCCCAAGTTAATTTTAAATGGAAGAAACAAATTGACATTCAAGAAACTGGGTTCTAGCATAGCAAAGAAATGCTTCTTAGGGACAGTGCATCAGAATGTTAGGAAGTCACACACACAAAGGACACAAAAAGGCTATTCCAGAAGCAATGTAAGCATGACTGGAATTTCTGCATTCCACCCACTGCTTCAAAACTGGTATTTAGGCTCTTTCCAGGCCAGACAGATGCAATATTTTGTTGAGGGGGGATGAAGGGAGTGGGGTGAATAATCATGTGAAGACTTAGTGTGCTACAAAAATCATAATTATACAGGACACGTCTCTAACAAAGTCAAATCACTTAAGAAACATTTTCTCAATCTCTCTTCCCATCATCTGTATAAAAAGTAAGGACATGGAGAAAAGATTTTTCTCTCCATTTATGAATTAGATATCTGAAGTTCACCATAAATAGATGGAATACCTAAAAACCAAACCCACATCTTCTGGTTATTAGTCCAGTGACCACTAGACTGTACTATCATGTTTCAAGTTCATAATGCCTTAAGTTATCGGGGGGGGGGGGGGGGGGGGGGGAGGAGAATTCTTTTCTAAAAGCCTTTGGAATTGGAAGCCCAATGAGAGCTATGGCTCTCAAATTATAACATTACAAAATCACTTTGATCCTAGTTTCTAGTTCACTACTACTCTTCAATTACATTCTTTAGAAGGATTTCTCCCTCCTGCCAAGTATGTCATGAAACCTCTTTTGATAATTAGGTCTTAGTCATTCACTTTCCTCAAACATTAACGATTAGGAACATATAATAAAACTAATCACTCTACCAAATAGTCCTATATTAGCACCTACCTACCAGGTTTTATGTGAGTTCTAACTGCCTAACATTCTACCTCTTATGAGAGGCTTACCACCTACTCTAACTCCTTGCTTAGGGCTCACAAGTACGAATCCTCTTACCAGGTAGGAAACAAGCAGATGTGGTATGTGGCTATATACTCCAGTTCCTATAAAGCGCTAGCACAGAATCACAGATCTAAAGCTAGAAAAGACATCAGAAGACATCTAGTCTGACCCCCTCACTTTACAATTGAAGAAACTGAGGCTCAGGGAAGTTAAATGACTTGATCAGGGTTGAAAATCCAACAAGGCTAATATGACAAAAAAGGAAAATGATAAATGTTGGAGGGGATGTGGGAAAACTAGGACACTAATGCACTGTTGATGGAGCTGTGAACTGATCTAATCACTCTGGAAGGCAATTTGGAACTATGTCCAAAGGGGTATGAAATTGTGTATAGCCTTTGATTCAGCAGTATCACCACTAGGTCTGTATTCCAAAGAGATTACAAAAAAAAAAAGGAAAAGAATCTATTTGTACAAAAATATTTATACCAGCTCTTCTTTGTGGTGACTAAGAACTGGAAATTGAGGGGATACCCATTAATTGGGGAATAACTGAACAAGCTACGGTATGATTGTAATAAAATATTATTGTGCAGGCAGCTAGGTGGCTCAGTGGATAGAGCACCGGCCCGGAATTCAGGAGGACCTGAGTTCAAATCCGGCCTCGGACGCATAACACTTACTAGCTGTGTGACCCTAGGCAAGACACTTAACCCCACTGCCTAACCCAAAAAAACAAAAAAATAAAATAAAATAAAATATTATTGTGCTATAAGAAATGACAAGCAGGATGATTTCAGAAAAACCTGGAAAGACTTAAATGAACTGATACAAAGTGAAGCCAGCAGAACCAGGAGAACATTGGACACAACAACAGCAACACTGTATAATGATCAACTATGAATGATTTAGCTATTCTCAGCAATACAATGATCCAAGACAATCCCAAAGAACTCATGATGAAAAATGCTATCCACTTCCAGACAAAGAACTGATGTCTGAATACAGATCGAAACACACTTTTTTACTTTCTTTTTTTTTTGAGTCTTCTTGTACAAAACAATTAATATGAAATGTTCTACATGATTGCACATATATAACCTATATCAGATTGCTTACCATCTCAGAGAGGGGGAGGGGAGGAATAGAATTTGGAACTCAAAACTTTAAAAAATGTCAAAATTGTTTTTACATGTAATTGGGGAAAAAATAAAATATTAAAAAAAATGTTAAGGTGTGTTGGTCACAATAAAAAAAAAAAAAAAAAAAGAGAAAGTCCAAGGAAGAATTTGAACATTGGTCCTTCTGACTTCAAAGCCAGTTCTCTTTCCAAATTTCTAAAATTTGTTTGAATACAGGTATTTCAGATACTCTAAAGATAGGTTAAAAGTAAAGTGAGTGTGCGAAGCTTTGTTTTGTTGAAGGGAGGGGCACATGTGAAAGAAATCCAAAAAGAAATCAGTCTGAAGTTTTGCTTACCTAAGGAATGCCCTAGAAAGCACATGCTGGTCATGGTTTCTTGCCCTGTTTAGTTTGCAATATCTTTAACATCAATTATAACATTCTTATTTAGTATTTTTGTGGCCAGCACATGTCTTTCTGACAGTGTATTACACTGATAGCTCCAAAGTACTCCCAATTCTAAGAGCAATTATATCTCATTTCAGGCTTATGGAGTCAATTTTCAAAACTGGTGGTTCAGAATCTGAGAAAAAGTAGTTAAAGATCAGCTTATCATCATCATTTCTTAACCACCACAAGAAATTTCATGGACCTGAATATCAAATTTCTAATATTTCTGCCTTTCACATTATCTACTGCTTAATGGCCACCAGAAAATCTCAAAGAACTTTGAAATGCTTCATACCTCAATTACTTTACAAATTGTTCTGTGTATCTGATCACTCTTTTCTTCCTTAGCAAGTCTGTGCCTATTCAGTGCATTCCTGAAGAAGATTTGCTATATTCATGGAACAAAAAACAGAAAGTCTTACACATGTCATTTGGTCTGCAATGCCTCTTCATAATGCAAAGACTGGAGTAGGCAACTTAATGCCTTTAGAAGCCTGAGTCCTTCTAAGTGATGTCCTATACAATGTAGGCAGGCTAGGGCACCTAGGTGGCGCAGTGGATAGAGCACCGGCCCTGAAGTCAGGAGGACCTGAGTTCAAATCCAACCTCAGACCAAACACTTGACACTTGCAAGCTGTGTGACCCCTGACAAGTCACTTCACCCCAACTGCCTCACCAAAAAAAAAAAAAACAAAAAACAAAACAATGCAGGCAGGTTGATCACCTCCAAGTAGGAAAAAGTCATTGTCAGGAGACATTCAGAATAAATGGACATTAAAAATTCCTTAAGACACTACACTAATGAGGAAATATCTTTTGTACCCCACCTTTTAGGCAGTTTGCTTTGCAGAAATACTGCTAAACTGCTTTTGTTTAAAGATGTTTAAAAAAGCGGATGCTATTCATTGGCTATTATTCCTCTTTAAAATCCATAAGTCTTTGACATAATACGATCAAAGCCAAATATCCCCATCAGGACTACCATATATTTTAGATATTTCAGAAAGCATTTCTCTGAGTAATGTCTCACTGCAACTCTCTAAGAGAGGAACTGCTGAAAGCACAGTCACCCTTTTTCCTGTCTACTTTCTTAAGTAATTACAGGTTGCACATAACAAATTGTTTGTCAAAAATACTGCAGGTTCAAAAAGAGGAAAAGTGCAAGAGGAGGAGTCAATGAGAACGCTATGGGGTTGGCACTATGTAACCTGATTTATTTCTTAGGCAGAGTGAGCTAATTATTTTTCTGAGTCCTGATACTCCCCCCTCCCCAAAAGAAGTCCTAAACTAAATACACGTGCTGGTTTGGTGGTACAAATAAGATGCCTATATTAAACTTGTAATTGCTACTTTTAGAGAATGTTTTTCTCATGTCCTTGAAAGAGAGTCCAATTTCTGATGAAAAACAGACTGAAGTCATCCCAGTGGGAGAAGGAATAGAGGGGAGGAGGTTGATGCAATGTTCTGTGCAAACGAGATGGGTGGAGGCAAGTTACAGTTCCAAAACTACGATGTGGAACCTATTATAAATTTTAACCAGTAAAGGAAATAAAAAGTGTGAGCTTGTATGCTCTGGTTTCCCTCTACCTATTAAAATCCCCCTATCTCTGTGATTCCAGCAATAGTGCTATTTTCAAATGCAAAAATTACCAAGAGCAGACCAAAAAGCATTCTGCTATGAAAGACTATTTAGTTAGGAGGGTTTTCAATGGATGATTAAAATAAAAACAACAGAATCACCACTAATTCCTGGAAACAAAAGTTCTGAGTCTCTGGTACATATGACTTTAGAAAAGGCACTACCTGAGTAATCAAAAATTCTTTTCAGCTATTTTGGATTAAACACTTTACATAGTTAAAAGACTTGCAATTGCTCCACTAATTACCAACTTTGGTTTGTATGACAGTATACGTGATATTGAAATATTCCTGTTTATTCTACAGTAGCTCTCTCGTATCTGCTAATCCAGGGTCTGTTATCTATTTTTTTCCCCAATGTTTTGTTCTGTTTGAACACGATGGACACATCCTGGCAATACATGTCTGGGTGGAATAAAGGAAAAGGATATAGTTTCTTTTTCGGGGAAAAAAAAAATTAGGAGCTTCACTTGCATTAACTACTCTGAAAACATGGGAGAACCCAACAGGTGCCCTTTTCCCCTAATGTGCTCCACTTAGCAAAACTTCCCCCAATAATAAATATCAGCTTAACTATGAATAAGTAGACACTGGTTTTTGCAAGCTCCTTTCTGTGTACCTGTCCTTTTTTTTTACATGCTAAATATCTGTTTAATTGAATTTAAATCAAATAGGAGTTTGATGACTACACCAAATCAAATCAACAAAACAGTACTGAATGCCTACTATGTGCCAGGCATTTTTCTCTAAGTCAGGGCTTCTTAACACGGGATTCATGAACTTGGACAAAGAAAAAAAAATCACATTTTCATTTTCACTAACCTCTAACTGAATTTTAGCATTTCCTTCAATTATGAATGTAGACAACAGAAGGGATACATATTTTTCACCAGACTGCAAAAAAGATTAAAAGCTCCCGCTTTAAGGTCTCTTTCAATTCTATCTTTCTTCGAATTTAGGAATCTGACCAAAGTTTAAAGTCAAAGGCTACCTCTGGAAAGGCTGCAAAGAACGTCTAGTGCCTGCATTCCTAGAGCTGAAGTTTCTCCGTTTTTTTTAAAGGAGCGCCCCCCACCCCCACCTCCCCAAGCGCACATACTTCAGTGCTCCTATTTGCAAACACACACGCAAACACACACACACAGTCAGTCAGTCAGTTTCTCTCTCTCGCCTTCTTTCCCATCTCCTACATTTTCAAAGCTGAAGTTTCCCTTGGTTATTTAAGGCAGCCCCCCCCCACCCAAATGCACACACTTCGGTATCTCTGCTTTCACACTTACTTACACACACACACACACAGAGGGTCCTTCTTGCCCATCTCTTGCTGCATATCTCCATCACATCAGAAAAAACCAACTCCAGATCGGGGTATGGGTCCCCTAACAAAAACCACCTGCATGCATTCCTCGTCCGTGCCATTGGTACAGTCAGGAGGGCAGGTCTAGTCTCCAATAGCAACCAGACAAACCTCCATTCAACACTTTCCCCTCTCTCTCGGTCTTGACTTTCTGGGCACAGGGACAACCCACGTATTCTCGTTTTCTCTCATTGCTCTTCGGAATTTTCCTCTCTGCCCACTCTCGCCCCGCTCCTTCGGCGAGCTCTCTCTGCCCAGGTGACAGATTTTTTCACCCAGGGAGGGGTCGGCCCGGGTCGCCGGGCTCCACTCCCCTCCAGGGAGCCGTCGAAGGCTGGAGGACGCCCGTCGTGGCCCTAGGGGGCAAGGCTTCCGGACTCCCGGCCCCCCAGCCCCACGCTGCGGCGGGAGGGGGCAGGTCCTGACGAGAGCGTCGCGCGCCCCCGCCCCCACATCCCGTGCCGCGCCGGCCTCGCGCTCGACGTCGCCCCCTCCCCCCTGACGTCCGCTCTCCGATACGCACGTGGACTCAACCTCCCCGGCCCCCACCCTCCGCAGGGAGCGGCCCCAAGTTGGTCTTACTCACCCCCCCCCCCCCCGAACCTTGTCTCGCGGTGCTAGCCGCCTCTTCCTGCCTTCCCAGCCAGGAGCTCCGCAGGTCCTCACTCTCAACTCCGCCGCGTCCTTTCCTCTCCCGTCGCCGGTCCCTCGCCTCCCTGTGCCCGCTCCCTCCTCACCTCAGTGCGCAAGAGCAGAACGGCTGAGAGTCGGCTGCATCCCACGTCCACGAGGCCGTTTGGCGAAGCGGACGTTGGCGCCACCTACTGGCCCCTGGACGGAACAACCGCTCTGGAGGGCGGGGCAGACGAGGAAAGCGCGAAGGCCCGCGCGGGCCCCAGAACGAGGCTTCCCCGTACAATGCGCCTAGCGTTGTTTTAAGAATCCTGGCTATAAAATAAAACGTGTTTAACAGAGTTGCAGGGAGGAAAACCGGTTGTAATCCTTTGCAACGCCGGCTGTGGGTCATCTTATGCGGGAGGCTTTTCAGATTCTCCTTCCCCCCACATTGTGCTAGTAAATGTTTTACAACCAGCCCTCTGGGAGGAAAAAGTGTTCATGGGGCATACATTTAGTTTTAATTTGCATTATTAACATTTTCTCCACCGCCATTCAAATTCTACACAGCAAAACGATAAATCAAGTGCTGATTTGTAGTATTTGCCAATTTCTGAGGTATAAATGCAGATATAACGATCAGCTCTGATTTTGAGCTGACTCTAGCACAACCCCTTCCCTCATTTCCCTGTGTCTTTTTGGTATGCATTTTTATGTGTGTTCATGTTATTTCCCCAGATAGTATGTAAGCTTTTTGAGGGCACAGACTGTCTAATATTTTCACATCCCCAACACCTAGCACAGGGCCTGGCAGTTTTTCAGTCATGTCTGACTTTTCCAGATCCTATTTGGGGTTTTTCTTGCAAAGGTACTGGAGCCATTTCCTTCTCCAGCTCATTTTACAAATGAGGAAACTGAGGCAGACATGGTTACATGATTTGCCCAAGGTCACACAGCTAGTAAGTGTCTGAGGCCAGATATGAGTTTAAGAAGATCTGTCTTCTTGACTTCAGGCCCAGAACTCTACCTGCTGCACCACCTAACTGCCCATGAGAAAGAGGCCATCTTTCCAGGGGGCACAGAATAGATGCTTTTTAAATGCCTGATTAATTTACTGATAAAACTGGCAGGGACCATAAAGGCAACCCAGTACCTCGGTTTATTTTGCAGATGAGTAAACTGAGGCCCAGAGAGGTATAAGAGGATTTGCCTAAAGTCATAAAGGCAGTGGCAGAACTGGGATATGAACTTGGATCTGCTTCTAAGTTCCATGCTCTTTCCCTGAATCACCAGGGTTCAAATCCCTCCTCAGAAACTTACTGGTTACATGACTCAGGGCTAGACTCAAACTCTCTCAGTCTCAATTTCCTCATCTGTAAAATGGGGATGAAAAGAGTACCTACCTCATAGGGTTGTTGTGAGGATCAATACTCTCCAGTAGTTGTTACTGGACTCCTGACTGTTACACACAGGACAATCCATCTCTCCTCTAAGAGGAGCATTTTCTCTGGTTGTCTCATTCCTGGAATGTTCCCTCCTCCATTCCAACTACTGAATTCCCTAGCTTCCATTAAGTCCCAACTAAAATCCCACAGCCTACAGGAAGCCTTCTCCCAACCTTTCTTAATTCCAGTGCCTTCCCTCAGTTAATTATTTCCTATTTATCCAGTTTATAGCTTGCTTTGTATCTATTTGTTTGCATGTTCTCCCTGATCCCACCCCCATTAGGTTGTAAGTTACTTGAGGGCAGGGAATATCTTTTGCCTCTTTTTTGTTTCCCCAGAGTTTAGCCCAGTGCCTGCCAGGCACTTAATAAATGTTTATTGAATTGAATTGAACCAAATTGAGGAATTGCTACAAGACTTACAGTTATGAGCAGGAGAATGGGAGTTAGACCTAGGTTTTTCTGATCCTGAGTCATCTGTTAACTGGCAATGTGACCTTTGACAAAATGCTACCAGTCTCTGGATTTAATTTTCTTCCTCTATAAAATGAGAGGACTGAGGAAGCTGCATGGTATAATAGAAAGTGTATCACCTCTGAAGTCAGGAGTCTTGAATTCAAATCTTGCCTTGGACTCTTTTAAGACCTTGAACAAAACACTTAACCTCTCTGGACCTCATTTTCTTTATCTGTAAAATTAGGGGTTGGCCTAGATAGATGGCCTCTGAGGTTTTTTCTAGATCTAAATCCTATGGTCCTATGACTAAGAAGATCTCAATGATCGTTCCTAACTCCGAGACTCTGTAACTAGGTAGTCATAGAATCTCAGCGTTGGAAGGGAGTTCATTCCCTTCCTGAACAATGAGGCAGGTAGGAGGGGGAGAGCCCCTGGCCTAGGAAGACCTAAATTAAAATCTGACCTTAGACCTGCAGTTGTGGGACCCTGAGCAAATCCCTTAACTTCCTGCCTCAGTTTCCTGTGTAAAATGAGGATATTAATAGTACCTACCTCCAAGAGTTGGAAGAAGATCATAACTGTAAATTGCACATAGTTGGTGCTATATAAATGTTAGCTATAGGTATAGGAATCCCTTCTATAACATCCCTCACTAATGGTCCAGCTTCTACTTGAAATCCTCAGGCAGGATGGCCCCACCATCTCTGCAGCAGCCCTCTTGGTCAGTCCAAGTTGTTAGGAAATTTTTGTATGTACAGCCACTCAGCTTGCTTCAATGTTGGAGGTATGAATTGCCTTCCATGCATGGGCCCTGGCTAAATGTGTTCCTTAAACGTATCCTCTAAACCTATTGTTGGGGGAGGGTGTATTTGTGGGAAAATGTGTCCCAAGTTTATGGACCATACTTTCTACTACTACCCAACTTACTTTAGCATTGAATGCCTTTCCTGAACTGCTTGTATTGTGTTTTTTTTTTGAAACTGCATTAAAAAACAGCTCATGAACTATGGTTTTGAGTGGAAGAGGACCCACAGAGTACCTTGAACCTGAAGTGACTTTTCTGGAGATTCTTGTGATGCATTTATTTAACAAGAAACCCCTATCCTTTGGATGTCACTCTATCTTGAATCCATACTGATGTAAGCTTTTCCCTTTATTCATCCAACAAACATTTATTAAGTACTTTATATGTGTAATCCGTGTCATCCAATGTGGAATTTCCCCCTCATTCATTCAACAAGCAATTATTGAGCACTTACCATTCCACAAATGTTTATTAAGTACCCACTACATGCAAAGAATGGGGTTCAGTCCTAAGGTTACAAAGAAAATAAACTCAGCCCACTAGAAGTTCATATTCTACTGGGGAGATATAACATGTACACAGACAGGCAATTTAAGGAAGGAAAGAACACCGATAACTAAGCAGTGGGGGTAGGGGTAGGGTGAATCAGAAAAAGAAGTGGCATGCAAGCTGGGGGCACCTTGAACAAAGCTAAAAATTCTAAACAGTGGAGGTAAGGTGGGGGTCTCACATTCAAGGCATGGGGCACAAAGCATGGGGATAGGAGATGAAATCCTAAGTTCTGGGAGCTGCTAGTAGGTCAAGAGAATAATATGAAATAACCTTGAAAAGCAGGTGAGAGCCAGATTGTCAAAAACTTTTTATAGAAGTAATAGGGAGCCATTAGTTTTAGAGCAGGGGAATGACATGGTCAGACCTGTGCCTTAAAAAGATTATTTTTAAAGCTGAGTGGAGGATGTAGTAGAGAGCAGATAAACTAGATGCAAAGAACTGTTGCAACAGTGGGGATGACATGTGATAAGGGCCTAAACTACGGCCATAGCAAGGGAGAAGAGAGGTATTCAAGAAATTTTACAGCAGAAGACTAGACTGGACTTGGCAACTAATTATGGTGTCATGAGGTAGGAAGAGGAATCAAGGGTGACTTGGAGGTTGTGAACTTTAGGCACTGATAGAATGATGGTGTTCCCCATCTGGTTCAGCTTCATATTCCATCCAACTATCCACCCAGGCCATTTCATCACCTGCTCACTGTCACTGACCTCCCCCTCCTCCTCATTTGAACTAGCACCCTCCACACTGGACCCGAGATCTTTGACTCCATACTTCCTTTCTCAATCCATGCCCCAGTGTCTAGTGGAAGTTAATCCACTCATCTTTGGACCTCCCACCTTAGGATCCATCCCTGTTAATTGGTAAAACAGTGTGTGCCACTGGTCCACTGAGTCATTTATAGCTACTATGCTTCAGATTTGCATCCCATACTGCCATCAACCCAGGCTGTCTCACAATCTGCCTGCCATTGCTGACCTTTCCACCTAGACCAGTACCCTTAGAGGATACCGACTTGAGATGCCCCCCACAGTCACACTTTCATATTCTCCAGAATGAAATATCCTTCCATGGTTTCCTTGACTCTATATCTTCCCTTAGTGCAGTAGTCAAGTAGATTTTGATCTCCTAGAGGGTTCATGATAATGGTCCACTAAAAATTCTTTAATAGTGCCTTAAGAAGTCAAAAAAAAACAAACCCTGCCCAATTGTTACAAATATATTTCCTCTGTGACAACAAGCATATGCATGTTTGAAGCATTATAAGTTTGTTTCTGCAATGAGTGGAAACCTCCATGATCATGTGCACAGTGACTTTGGTGTTTAGCAATTACACCAAACTGATTGCTTCTAACTAAATGCAACATGTTCCTTGCAGTTTCTCAACCTGTTATCAAATTGTTTTCAAACTGCTACAAGCAATTGACATTCTAAGAC